CTGAACTAACATTCCTCCTTTTGCATCATGGATTATGTAAATGTGCAAGAAAAAATTGAAATAATTTTCATTTACGGCGAAGTTGGGAGAAATTTCGACGCTTCTGTTTAATTTGTATGCTCGACGTTTTCCTGAGAGAGTATGATACGCACCGACCGACCGATAACAATACTTTCTCTACTTACGAAGTAAGGGCCAGATAAACAGAAACCAAATGAATCATGTCCTATAAATCAATATCAATATCAGACTCACATTATTCTCACAGAAGAGTGGCGACTCCAATGCTGGCTATCTATTAGCAAAGTGCAGCATTTCATGATATGTTATTTCCTTTAATGATATGGCATTAAATGGTTCCTACTTTTGTGTTAGACTGAAATTGCATGTTTTCAGAATCATAAGAACAATTAATTTGTAAACATGAGTAAAAATGCAGGCAATATATTAATTTGAAGGGTGAACTATACCCTTTCTCTCTCCTTGCTTTGCCTTCAGTTTTGTCATTTGTAAACTCATTGAGAGTAATAATATTATTATGATATCATATACTGATAAAAAAAATTGTTTTATACAGAACCAAGCATGACAGAAATAGCAGTGCCTTGCAAAAGAACAAGTTGACTATGTATATGATCATAAACAAATATACAAAATTATTTGTTTTTCCAACGAACAGTGCTACTTGCTATATATTATGAAAACAAGACCTAAATTGCAAATTTTCACAGATTCTTGTACAAGCTGCAATAACACAATCAGATTCACTAATACCTTTCAGTCAATGATGTCATAAGTGTTTGGACAATAACCCACGAAAATATTTACATTGTATTTTCTTCATAAGTAAAAAGTAGTACCTTTGAAATTTCCTATTACAAATGTTTGATTTGTAGGCTTACTTGTAAGAGTCCATGTTGACACTGTCAAAATGACTTATTGCTATTATTACCAAAACATAAATTAACACACCAAGAATTTTTTTATAACAATTAAAAGCCTCAAATTAAACATACCTTTAAAAAAAATATATAAATTTCTTTGAGTAGTTAAATTAAAATAAAACATGCACTAGATTTATGTATGCCTTAAACCAAGACTAAATAATTAGAACAATTTCCAAAATCCTTAATAAATTATTATTACTATTACTATTATTACTATTATTATTATTATTATTATTATTATTATTATTATTATTATTATTATTATTATTATTATTATATTAACCATTACAATCAGTTAAATAATCATAACAATAATTATTATTTCTATTTACTATTATTATTAAATTAACCTGTACTTTGTCACTCTGTGTATAATTTAGATAGTTATTTATCAATTTACCCTATTCTGCATACAAATTGTAAACTAGAGTATAACATATTTGATACCTACCTATACAAAACAAATAATGAAGAATAAAAAAGAAAGTCCTTACTCTAGTATAAAACTTTTGTATTAATACTAGATTTAAATGAATACATAGTTCAAAATCAGAATAAATGGTAGAAAGAGGTTTCTAAAGACATGTTACAAAACTTACATGTTTTGCAATAGAAGCCGCAAATTTTTCTTTCTAATTTTCCATTTTGATACAGCGTAAATAAAATTTTTGTTGAGAAAAGAGATAATATATTACAACAAGTTTTAACAAAGGTCCGATTATATTCAATCTCTTGAACGTCACACTTATTTGTTTTTCCTTTTGGAAAGAATGTGAGCTTTATTCAAGTTCAATAGGAGAAAATGACTGAAAATAATTCAATTAGGTATTGTACATTATTTGATAGAATTCATAAAATATAAAATTCAATAAGTATTTACCAGCAACATAGAAAAATATTTATCTCTACCTGGAGAAAGTTAAAAATGTCTAATATTCAAAAAGTGACAAAAATGAGAAGTAGGTCTGAAAGAAAATTAAGTTTCTGAGAACAATGTACAGATAAAACAAAATGTAAGATTTTGTAAATAAGACATACATAATGTGAGGCAGATCAGAGATTCAAAAAAAGTATTAAGTATTATGGATAATAAACATCATGAGAGATGGATAGAATACACAACGTTCATTGCTTTCTAGCCTTCTCTCGGTTTGTCAAACAATATATTGAAGGAGCATTTTATGAAATGATCATTCCAAATTTCTCACTAATTAAAGTACCGGTAGTAGGTACAATAAATTCATGCTATTAAAAATATTATTCATTTGCACAAATGAATTCCATATCATGGAATATTAATTTCAAACTTTTCGAAATAATTTATTACTAACAATTATACTCAAAAGCGAAATTATAAGCATAATAAATATTATTTACATCAATTTCCCCGTACATTATCTCCGAAAAATTAGTAGTGCACATACATAGTTACTTCTCTATACTGCATTTTCCATAATCTCCGAAGTTCCTTTGTTGAGGCAACGCCTGGAACATCTAGTATCAGAATGATATCTGGAGGTTAGAAGAACAAAGCATCTAGTTTATTGATAAAGTTCTTAGTGGGGTATTACACTAAAAGATAGCGAATAGCTTGTAAGATCGTTCTGTTTTGGAATTATTGAAATACAAACTCTTCGTACTAAAGATGTGAATTTAAAAAATTCGAGCAGCTAATTAAAAATTACATGCAAAACCCATGATGTTTTGACAGATCTTATTGAATTGCAATTAGTCAAACGTTACGGTAACTAGGCGGGATTTCGCTGCGGGTTGCTGTGGGCCTAAACAGTGCAATAGCCGCAATAGCGTGCGAAAGGCGCGAAGTGGGAAGGATAGCAGCTGGTTGCGCGCTTGATAAGTGTAAAGCTTTAAGTATTCTCAGTCGTCCATTAGATTTTAAGGAGTTAGTTGAACTGCAATATTATACTTCATAGCAGCACATGGAAGTGTTCCTCAGTTATTATTTACTGTGGATTGGTGTGAACTGCTTCAGCGTTGTGAAGAATGTTGGACCGGAATGGACTCGAATATACGGCTGTAGAACGCGATGGGTTAACTCGTCGTAGTGCATGTTAAATGCTCAGTTTGCATAGAATAAAAGTGTGGTGTTAAGTCTGGAGAAGATGAATTGTGTTATTTTATTTCCAACTATTACTCATCATATATATAAATAAAAATATAAACTTTACCTCAGTCTCTGCTAATTGGATTAAATTACAAACATTCGAGTATTTTGAAAGTAAATCGCGTTGTCTTGGAAGGCGAGATTAGTTGAGATATTCTTCATAATACTCACTTATTTGTTGATTTGAAAGGTTAAAAAATGGAAAGCGTCGAAGTGGTGTGTGTAGAGATACAAGAAAATGAAAACGGTGAAATCGTATACGTTGAGAAAATGGAAAACAACAACAGTACAGAGTTTCCAGAAGATTTTTGCGTTATGGAATGTGAAATAGCTACTACTGAAAACTCATCTCAATCACATTGTGAAGAATCTGATTCAAATTCTCCTGTAGAAATTATAGTATTTCCAAACTTTAGTGACAAATTGCCTCAGTGTGTGACAAATGAGGAACAATCAGAAGAGGAGGACACAATAGAACCTGACAATGATTATAACATGACTTTATCTGGTGCTGAGCTTGCCCTGCATAAAGACACTCAAAGGTTCATTGAAGACACAAAGACAAATGATGATTTTGACTTTGTACTGAAATTGGCAATGCGGAGTGAGTCCAATGGACTCGGTGAGCCTACAAAGCTCCCTTTTGAGAAGGTGAGAATCATTGAGGAAATTTCAGAGGAATCGGAAGCTGCTGTGGATATAAAGAAGAGTAAACTGTGGACACTATTAGATAAGCAGGACAAGTGTAGCTCTGCTTCAAAAAGAAGTGAGAGGACAACTGGTTCTGTAGATGTTCGAAGAACTTATAGTGGTATTATTCCTAAAAAACCATATAGTAAAGAAACTCACAATGGCTGTTTCTCAGAACACCCTTTCAGATGTAAAATATGCGATCAGAGTTTCCGTCAGGATAGTAGTTTAAAAATACATCTCAAAGTTCATGCAGGAAAATTTTCCGACAGCTGTATTATTAATTGAAGTATTTTTGTTTTTATTTCAACAGTACGAAATTTTGAAAGAAATTATCTCTTCTGTACGTACCACACCTCTTAATGTATTGAATTATTCACAGCTCAGCTAGCAGTACTGTTGGCAAGAAAGCTATCATTAGTCCGTATTAAATGCGAGAACTGAATACAAACTTCTGATTGCATGCTTCGACAACCCCTAACTACCAAATAAGCGTATTTAAGTTTATTGAAAAGACAAAGTACTAAGCGTAGCTTACTTGCTTCAATCATGTATTTTATTGCCTTTGTTACATCTTAGGTGAATGTAGCGACCATTGACAGTATCTTGTCAGAAGTTAATAAATTGAATCAAAGTATATTGTTTCCTTCAGAATACCCAGTGATACCATCCCTGTCCTGCGCCACATATATATTGAATCAATTGAAGTACTTTTTTTATCAAACAAATTTTATTATATATTGTGATGAAATATAAAATGATTTTCTTTGATATGCTCAGTTCAGCATACCCTAGAATATTGATGTGGTCTCACTGATTGTATTAAAGTGTTTTGTGTGTGTTTTACTTTGTAGAATTCCCATTGAAGTAATAACAATAATCAGGGAATCTAAAATTTCAGAATTCATTTTGATGGGGTTAATTCTATTCGGTGATTATGTTTGTTATTTTTCAGGATTCTTGTTTAGTCTAAAGTAATTGATATTAAGGGCTGTCAATATGATTTAGCTCTTCTTTATTTTAACTTAAATATAGTATGATACATTTGCCAAAATCTGTGACAAACTGATTGTGCCAGTGTTGTGTGATGAAAAATCTGATTGTTTTCTTACGCTCACCAAAGTAAATTATCTGAGTTTGCATTGTACCGAGAGTTATGTAAACATACAAAACAAGAATTTTATTAGTGCTTAAGTTGTGTCATAAGAATGATTACTAAGATCTTTCTGGAAATAAAACACGGGAGATTAAATAATCAAATCCTTTTAAACTCTGTATTTATCAATGTTTCGCTGAAGATAAGTTTTAACGTGTTTTCATCAGTGGAATTGCTAATCTAAGAGCCTTTACTGTTGAGGCCTTTTTAGTTATTTATGGGTAGTATGTAGGGTTCCATTGCTTAAAACCTTTACTTGATACCATGAGGAGTTGCTCCTTTGTTGCTAGTATAATACATTGTCAAAAGAAATACTAGAAGGCAATCGTGTTATTGAAATGCCTATGTATGTTTGATTTTAAGGTTTAATAAATTTAATTCACACTAATTATTACTCGTGTGCTAGATATACTTTTTCCTCCTTTGCTACGTAATTGCACTCGGACCATATTTAAATTGTGCTTCTCTTGGTGATCTTAGAGCTCCAGTGCTAGTAATTAGAGATGCTTTAATCTCAATTGCATTGTAATACAGTTTTAAAGGTGTTTCTTTTCATATTGAAAGTATAGTAGCATAATTTAAAGGCAGAGCTTCATTTCTGGTGGAGTGCAACAGAATGGCATTCTGATACCTCAGGAACCAAATGTTGAAGACCAATCCAAAAGCAGAGAACAAGAATTTGGCAGCTTCAATTTTTAGTTGAATCTAGATTTTTTAAATCAGGCTCTGTTTAAAGGTTTGGTGATTAAAAAAATAATCTGCTTTACTAATATGAAGATCAAACCTACAAAAATATTTAAAATTTTCATTTCAAATCCAAAAGTGTGCTAATATTGGAGACATGTGGTTGATACCGTAGGGACATGATTTTTGTTAGCAAAGAAATGAGATAAAGTCAGTTTCAAAAGAATAATTTTTCTTCGAAATTTTTTAAAAATAATATTAGTAATAATAATATAGAATTAATTTATTGAGTTACTCAATTACAATTGTGTATAACTAACCTGATTGGTTATTGCTTCATAGAAACAAAAGAATCTAAGATAGTTTCAATACTAATATATTAATGATGACACTGTGTCGTGGTCAGAGTGATGAGGTTGATCTTGAACCACCACACACAATTAGCTTCAGGAGCAGGAAAGAATTTGCCTGGTTTTGTAATTGTGCACCAAATGTACTGCGGTTACTTGAAGTCAAATTGTTAGTCATCAATAAAGTTCTGAACACTAGACAAATATCAGCAGAAAGTAATGTCTGAGTTTATTTTTGAATCTGTATAACCCTGTAATGTCTTTCAGATGTTTCAGTAATTTGTTAAATTATATTTGTGGAAGTATATACTTTTTTTCACGTAATGTGAATGTCCCAAGTGGTTGGTGATATGATCATCATGTGTAGTGTGAGCATAAATATATAGGAAGTATCATTATTGATTAGGTTTGTGGTAACAAACATACGACTTTGTATATGAATAATACCATTAGTACATGTATTCCATTAAAAGAAACCATCTTCCATTAACGGTCGCAAAGCTGAAAAATAAAATCTAAGGTTTGTGGGAACTGAAGTTTTTGAAATTGGGGTTGACAGGAATGTTATTTTTGGGTTTGTTATAGTTCGGATGTTTCTTTTTCGAATTTTAAAGGTTTGCTATGTTTCTGGTGCTTAGCCCCAGATAATTATTTCATCTTTGAGGATACAGTGAACATTTTCAAACACTGGACTTTTGATGGTACTGTTTCTTGTTATTATCCCAAGGGCCAATTTAAATTATTTTTTTCTCTCTAGTGTGAGTTTCACTTAAGACTGAATTGTGTGGTGATTCCAAGAAATTTTGTTTTGTATGGTACTTTTGCCCTCTAGGTTAAAATAAATTTGGTGGGAGTTATGGAATGGAATTGTGATTGTTTCGCCACTATTTATGATTAGTTTGTTTTAGTGCATGCTTTAAATTAATTTGTCAATGTCTAGGCTCGCTGTTTTCTTGGTCATCAGTTATTTTTCCTCCAATATTGTATTTTTGTCTTCAACAAATAGCAATGTTTATTTTTTTCCATTTTTGATGGGGGATCATTCACAAATAAAAAAAATATAGGTTCTTGTAGTGTCCTTGCAAGACTTTACAGTTCACAATGCAGAATGATGATATTGTATTCTGTTTCCTTTTTGATCAAATAACACAACTATTTGCTTTCATCTGATAGACATGATCTCATCCAATTAATCATACAATGGTTGTTTATTTTTTTGTTGACATCTATTTTAACATTTTTTTTAATACAAATTCAGCAACAATAACTGAATTTACTGTTAACTCTTGGAACTAAGTTCAAAATTTTTAATACCTAAGTGAAATCTGATTTTTCTTCTACCTTTGCTGCAGGTAAACTGAAATTCTTTTTATTGATATTCCTCTGGAAGAAATAAAAATACATCACGGCTGTAGCAATAGTATATGTAGAATATTTGTCTTTTTCTGCTTTTATTCTTCCAGAAACGGACCTCATGTAAACTGGCAAAGCAAAACTGGTTATGGTTCCTCCATCTACTGGTTTTTGTTGTTAATAAATTCAGTTTATTTGCAATTTATTTCAACACTAAATGTTGAGCAAAAAAAAAAAAAGGTTTACTGGCAAATTGTTACTGATTTAGTTAAAGAAAGCTTTAAAAAAAAAAGGGAAAATTATAGAGTAAAACTTTTAAGGGAAGATTTTGTTCTGTAGCTGACATTTGATGAAAGTTTTGAAATTAAAGAATCTTACCAAAGGAAAAAGAAGAAAATTGTTCTGAATATTATTCATAGGTAAAATAAAGTATAATGCAAGTTCTTTGTGAGAAGTCTCTTTCTAAACTAGAATAATATTACTACAAAGAATACAGAATTACTAGTAGATGTGTTTTTTTTTTAAAGTACAATGTATGTGTTGCTATGATGAAGGTCATGTATGTAGTTGTTACCATTTGAGAATTCAATAAATAAAAAATGAACTTGTATAATTGTTTAAGATATTAATGATTTTTTGATAACTTTTGCCATATCCTAATTTAAATATTGTCTTTATACAGTTAGAATTGACATTCAGAAATGTTATCCTTAAAAAATGGAATAGAATTACCCTTAATTATTGAGATAATTTGAAGATTGATGAAAATGTTAAGTAATAAGATTATGGCTTTCTAATTTATAATCAAGTGTATAACCCACTATATTATCTCATAAGATAAACTGAAATACACATGCCCAGCAATTTTAAAAAAATGCTGTATTCTTCATTCTAGATTGATGTGTATCAGTACAGAATTTTGAAGATAATACCTGAACATTATTGCTATGAGTGCAAATGTAACAGTTTCATAGTTCAAATGTGTTCACAATGAAGGTACTCATCAAAAAATGAGTTAGTGAGATATTGATCTTTTGAAATCACAGACAAAAAGTACAATCTAGGATTGCTTGTAATGTAGTCAGGCTGGTGCAACCAGAGAGTATATATGGTATAGATTAAGTGTTAGGTGGCAACCTCTGATGAGCGCGTAAGCGAGTTCTGGAGAATTACCGAGTTTTTAGCTGTATTACGCGTTTGCAGAGGCATGTGTGAGGCTTATTACATTTCGCACCTCCAATAGAAAAGTGACACAAATTTCTGATTCCTCAGAAATTGCACTTTTAAGTTTCGTAGTTCTGTAATACTTATTATAGATTGTACCAAATATTCACCTCCTAGCGGACAGTAATTGAACTAATTCAAAATGAACTTCAGAATAGTATATAGCAGTGTATAGTATGTACATAGCAGTACCTCTTGGTAACCTCTTATCAGCTTTTAGCTGAAAAATGACGATTTCGCACTTGTGTTTTTTCGAACTATTGGAGGTGCGATTTGTTATTTACAATGCAATGCTATTTGCTTCCTTTCGGTTTATTTAGGTTCTGGTTGCGAATTTCGTAGACAAATTGAATTTAACAAAGCACTATTTTATCAACACACGGAAAGTCGCTACATTTTCTTTTTGAAAACGGTTCGAAGTAAATATTATCAGGGCTTTAGTGATGATGCTAAGGTGCTTCTAAATGTATGAAACATATGGTACTAAATGTATGAAAAGTGCCAACGAATTTCGAGTCCTTGTGCTATTAACGTAGAAGTGACTCTTTCCGTGTATTTTTATAAACTGTCGTCTCTTTAAATATTTATTTTAGAAATGTGTATTAATAAAAGATATATTACATACATTAAACTTTAATAATCGTTTAAAAAAATCCAGAATGTTCATAATCACAGTCACAAAAATATTCGTAATTTTTCACGGGGTAGAGGAACTTTCAACACTTCCGTTAACCAGAATTTAATATGGTTTAACTATTAATGTTTCAATGCATTAATTGTAATAAATAGAAGGTTGTTTAAAAATATAAATAAATATTGCACTTTTTTATCATATTTTTAAACGGGCGGATCCAGAGACGAATTTTAGGAGGGGAAATTCAAAATGTTTTGATCAAATGTGTCATATTACAAATTTAAATTGTCGCAGGCTACACTTAGCTCGTGCTGCGAGAGAAAACATTTTTGTTTGAAATTTTCGTGATAAGCCAAAATTAATAGTAACTGAAAAAAATTATGTGCGTAAATTTCCCTCAGTTACCCCCCCCCCCCTCGAATTCGCGTCTGTTTTAAAAAATGTTTGCAGTTTCCTGTACTGAGTTAAAATTTTTAAAGGTCGAATTTCAATATTCAAGATACCCGCAAAAATATATATTTCTTATCCCCAATGATTTTAATGTTAACATTTTTTATAAAACGTATTTTCAATATCTCTTGTTTGACAAGTTTTCATGAACATTTGATGCCATTTCTTTGCAATACAATTACAAGGACACAACTTAATAGCCCTGGTGACAGAAGAAAACAGCCGATTGGGTGACCTACGTAATATTTGGGCTTAGCTTTTACACAAACAAACTCTTGTAAATAAACAAAATTTTAGTGGCTCATACATATTATGATGCTGTGTTTGTACAACACGTTTAGGAAATACAAGTAAATGACAACTAATTTATTGAGAGCTATGTCCTTTAGTGGGTTATTTATATTACTGCCAACATGTGGAAAATCTACATGTTTTCACGTGAAACATATGAGAAAGATGAAAATGTTTAGACGTGTGATTTGTGAATTACGAAGGTAGGCGCATCCTGTAACCTACTATTGACTTGAAATAACCATCTTAACTTTTCTTGCTTCAAAGAAGAAATCTACTTTTGTCATCTTTGTTCAGATGGTGCTATCATTTAACATCCCTGATTTTTGGGAACAGCAGGTCATCTAAAAACGCTTACTCATTCTCTCGTGGACCCTTTTGCCACAATTCACTATGGGACACAATTTGGTTATCGTGAAAAAACAATTTTATTTTAGAGAAAAAAAGAACATCTCACTACAGGAAAGTGTCCCAGAACAAAACAGAAACGTTTTTAAACCATTTTAGGCCGAGGAAAACCTCCAATGAAGTACGATCACGACGTTTTAAAAGAAAATTGACTCTTATGTCGTGCTTAGTCGGCCGTGGTTTTATCCGTATATGGATTCCATAAGCTCACGGCGTGTACACTTTCACGGTTTTTATTTCTTGGCACGTAATGGCCTGTCTTCAGGATGGAATATTTTAACATATCTTACAGCATTTCGCGTCTTTTTTGCGTTGCCGCTAGATGTCGCATGATAGCGACTGTATTTAGCAGTGCTGGCGATAATGCGACATCTAGCGGTACGACCCAGAAAGACGCAAAATGCACTGAGATATTCCATCGTAATGACAGCCCCTCACGCGCCAAAGCATAAAAACACAAGTATAGCAGCTTGCCACCCAGAGGCGACGCTGCTGCCCTCCGAAGTACCATGAGTCACGTGTTCTGGACATCTCTATCACAGTTATACTGTGTCCCTATAGACACTATAATGTTCTTTAATTAAGATCACACGCCCAAAATACAGTTGAGGGCTCAGAGAATTTGTTGGAAAATTTTCCTTTACTTACACATCTATTACGGCATAATAAAAAATTAAGGTTTTTTTATTTTACATGTAGAGTGTGTTAGATATTTGCACTAATAAAATATTACGGCTGTGGTTTTGACGATGTTTTCACTATTAAATAAATTATCTAAAAAAGAAGGGCATTTAATTTAAAGATGCACTTAGCCTTCATAGATATGTCAGAGCTATCGATAGGATGCTAAGAAATAAATTTTGGAACATTATGTATAAAAGAGTTTATTTTATACATTTATACAGACAATCCGACAAATATATGAAAACAATAAAGTAATCATTGACATTGGAGGAAAATGTTCGCAGAACATTTTGATATATAATATGCGAATGGCAATCTAATGTCCCTCAAGACATGTTACACTCATATATCTCAATTAACACCTTGCTGTTCGCAGATAACCAGATAATTCTACAAGAGGCCAGCTAGTATGCAGAAATTGGTACATTCCCTCCAAAGAATCAGATTGAAAATAACATGAAAATGTTGTAACCACCGACTCACCCGATTACCTGATTCCTTCGGCGATTCAGCTTTGCCCGGCTGCTTCGTCGGCAGACTCCCTAGAGGGAGGCATGCGTGATTGCCTAACGACTAGAGAGAAAGACTTAGGCATTTTAATAATACTACTTTAATCACTTTTGAAATCAGTGCGGGTGAAGTCCAGTAACGTAAACAAACTTACAACTAACTTAAAACTAATCTTAACTTAGTAAAGGCCGGTATGGCCACAGTTCATCTTAGCTCCGGTGTCTTCGCCCTCCCGGGCGGTCGTGATCCAGCTCACAGGTGCGGCGTTCGGGCATCCCAACGCCCAGCAGGTCTGGCGGCGGGCAGCTACGGTCGTTGCTTGAACCAGGTCCCATTGTGGCGGCCCCGGATTAGGCCAGCGGCGGGCGACGACCGGCGGCTCCTCAGCGTGCTTGGCGCTGACGGCGGCGGGAACGCGCCCGGGCGATGACGGGTCGCTTCGCGATATTGTCTTTCACGCCCCCGGCTCGTACTCACATGGCCCTTTCGGCCAGGCACTCACTCGTAGTGACCCGTCCCATCGTCCGGCTGTCGTCACACGAGTCGGGCTGCGATGTGGCGAGGCGGCGTGGCATTCGGGGCGACCAGGAACGAATTAAGTAGCCTCGCTACTGCCTCAAAAGCAAGTGTCCTCGCGGCTGCCTCACAAACAAGTCATGTCGCGGCTGCATCCGACCCTACCTCCGTCACAAGTGATCGATTCTCTCATCGGCGGTCCCTCAAGAAGGGCTCGCGTACCACGTGATTCCTCCCCCGCATAGTCTATTTTTATTGGTCGTCGCGCCACCCGTAGATAATTCCGCCTATCACGACGCCGGCGGCAAAGCCGCCCCCGGCAACTTCCCTCGAAGATTCCTCCGTCATTTAAATTCTCAGAAATAGGCGCGGGTAATTCCGTTGCTCGGCTTGGGGGTGTGGGTGGCGTACTTCCCCATACGTCACAAGGGGCGCGTCCGGCGTGGGGTTGTGCTGAACAAAGGAGGCGCTTTTTCCTCCTTTCTCTAGGCGAGCTAATCGGCTCTCCCAGGTACAGCAGGAAACGGCATTTCCGGCTGCTCTTAACGGCGACGCGGTTCTTAATTAAATAAAATATATTTCGTTTGTGTCATCTGCGATGTGCAACCGTCCCATTACAATATCCAATCCAAAAACTAAAACTATGGCATTCCATGGGAAATATCCTGCCAGGACAAAGATCGTCGTGGATGGTCACATTCTTGAACAAGTAAAAACATTTGATTACTTAGGTTGTAATATTTCTCATTGAAAATTAATTACATAAATTTCAAAGAATTTGTGGATGTATAAAAACACCTCAAAATAAAACTAGAAACGAAATCAAATAAAATTCTACAAAATAATGGCAGTACCAGCACTTCTCCTTAGTTCAGAATCATGAGTTAC